AAGGCTTGGACCAAAACGTAAATTTTGAAAAGTTCTAAAATGTCATAATGAAAATTTTTAGGTACCAAAATGTAATTTTCCAACGATATTTTTCGTATAAAAATATAAATTTTAGGTACCAAAATGTATTATATAAAAAATATAGGTACCAAATTGTAGTTTGTCATTTGGATTCATGGATTGATCCATGAATCCACCAACAATCCATGAATCCACCATTCCAATTGGATTTGGCTCAAAAGGATTGAATTTAAATGGATTGAATTAGGTGGATAATTTGGTAAATAGATTGGATTGGATTCATGAATTTGGATCCTAATTGCCACCTATAGCTCAAAGCCTCAAACTAGGTAGCGGTGAGTAGGCAGTAAAGAACTTAGGGGTCGTTTGGAAGTAAGGAGTCTAAATGAGTGATTGATTCTCTGAATATGTGTATTCTTTACAATCCATCGTTCTTTTGACGTAAACTTGTCCAGAATGCATGCATTTAAATGAAACTTTAGAATCTCAAATGGTTAGAATCATTCATTTAGAATCTCTACAAAAAGGTGAAATTCTTTTGTTTTACTTTTGTAATTGTTTTTTTTTTTTTACACTCTTATCCTTATTCTTTTTTATATATTCCCTCATTTAATGATTACATAAAAATAACTTCAAGGTTACATAAATCTTTTAGGTCATTAAAGTGAGAATCTTTATATTCTTCAAAAGTGAGAATCACAACAACCAAACAACATATTCTTACAATCATCTATTTCTTATGATCACCATACTTAGAATACATACATTACAAGAATACACATATTCGTAGACTCCCAACTTCCAAACCAACCCTTACATATATGATATAGAGAGAGAGAATGAGTACGGAGGGAAGCCATGCATGGGATGGGCGAGAGAACGAACAATCACACATGCACACATGTTAGCAGCAGATGGCCAATCATTTTGCTGTCCAATTCTCTAGAGACAGATAGATAGATAGATAAAGAGAGAGTCTTCGAATCTACTTCCCAGTTTCGTCGCGATTTCAGAGCATTTGATTAGGTGGCGGTTTGTGCTAGTGAGAATCTAACTTCCAGGTAATAATCTGTTCTCTCTCATGGCTTAATTAGTAGCCATGTTAGTGACGGATTATTAGTATATATATATATATATATACATATCCACCCCCTTCCTTTGTGTATTGTTTTTCTATATCACCATGTGCTCAAGCACCGGCTTTTTTATTTCTTTATGACAAATTATATTTTTTGTTGTTGAAAGTTGAAACCCGGCGTAATACCTAACCCGCCATGTTTCTTGCCATGTGGATTTAGATCTTGTGTAATATATTGGTTAGAGTCCTCGATCGCGAGAATACAATATGAGTAGCGTTCGTATTTCTATTCAGTTAAATTTGATTTTGTGCTACGATGGATCAAATTTTGACCTCGTTGCGATGAGGAATGTAATTGATTGTAAGATATGGGATCTCTACTTGTACCTTTGTATTTTAAATATTTGTTTATTTTAGTTTATTCCTAGAATTCTAACGCAATTGCTATTGCTTTTTCACCTAGTATTCTGCTTGTGTGTGCAGGACTTCGAAAAGGCAGGAGTACAGTAGAAAACCTTTTGCAGCCCAGGCACCATTTTTTTGGCTGAATTCTGACAGCTTGGGCGCCATTTTTTGCCCGACTTCTTCCAGCCAAACACAGTTGAGGTCTAGCCTAGTATCTTTCAACTAAAGATTATTGAAGGCAAACTTGAAGTTACAAATGGCACCATAGATAGATCGGTTCGGGTCCTAGTACCCGGACCCAAATATGCGGGTACCCGGACCCAAAAAATGTCAGTTTGAGGAACCAGACCCGACCCAGACTCGGTTCTTGGGTACCCGAGACCCAAAGTCACGGTTCTCGGGTATGGTTCGGTCACCCGAATACCCATAAGCCACCGAAGACAACCTGTTACAGCAGCTCTCTTCCTCCCACCTGCTCGTTCCATGCTTTCTGAAGGATGACAGAAGGTTGGTCGGCGATTTGTTGATTGTTGATGGATGATAGTCGGCGATTTGGTGAAGGATGATTGTAGGAAGGTTTTTGTCTGCGTCTCTGCGAGAGGGAAGTGGGGAGTGGCCGCTGGGATTGGGAAGGTCGAAGGGGAAGATGAAGCTTAGGGTTAGGGTGTTAGGCTGATGAAGACTGATGAAGGTTGGGCTGTCGGGGTCGGGCTGAGGAGTGAGGGGGGGGGGCCGAGGGCCTTAAGGCTGGGCTGGGCCGCTGGGCCATATAATATTTGGCCTGTGGGCTGGGGTTCGGTTCCACTTCGGGTCCTTCTATTTTCGGGTACGGGTTCGGTTTACCCAAAACCCGAAAAATAGCCAGATGCGATACCGAGACCCATTTTTCACAATGATATTTCGGTTCTCGGGTACCCAAAACCCGGAATTTTTGGTCCGATTCCGGGTTACCCATAAACCCGAACCCGAACATCCAGCCCTAATAGATATGAGGTTGGAGGTCTAGAGGAAGGAATGGCAGGAACGAAAGAGGACTTCGAGCAGCGGCTCAATGAGGTTCCTATTTCCTAAATATCCTAGCGAGGGAACCCATGAAACCCCTCAATTAGGTCTGGATAAATGGACCAGGCCATTAGAAATCGTGGACCAAACTGTATTGTATAGTTTGGTCTAAACCATAGACGGTTAAGAATGACATGATCTGGCACATGGTATATATTATATAATGTTTTAATTTATTGGTCAAGTCTAGTCTAGATCGCAGTTTACCAGATCAAACACTAGACTCGTTTCAATCACAATTTGTGTTAGCAACCCAATCGACAACTTTCCTAAATTTTCCACGAGACCCAAGTCTCAACCCTTATTTTTGAATCCCGCCCCCTCCTTCTTTTACAAACCACACTCTGCCAGAGAGTAGAGATGATCATGTCTACATATAACATTATGTTAATATTCATGACACTATGTCAAGATGGATTACTTTGACTTTGTGTCGTTGTTATTCACTTGGATTAGGGTATCAAAAGTGTGTATGTGCGCTGGAAATTTATGTTTTAAAGCAAAATAAAATTCTCCGTTGACTAAACAAATTATTCTTTTTTCTCTCAATGTTGTTTGCCTAGTCCAAACCGTACCAGACTAGACCGCACATGCATGGTGTGGACCGCCTATTAATTGGTATGATCCCCGATCTATACTTCACCTTTTCGTCCTGGCTCGTGAACCATATGTATAGTCCAATATGGACCAGACCACACCGTTTTCCAGCCCTGCCCAATAATAATTGAGGATTCTGCTTTAAAAATCTTCCATCTTATTTCCAACATGGATCCTAGAGGAAATTTTCCATAAATACCATCCAAAAACTAAAATTTTCCAAAAATATCACCATTTCTCAAAAACAGTGGCCCCATATGACGGTTTACGAAAATCTTAGGCGGGTGTCGCGGTTTTCGTTCCTGCCTGCTGAAAATCGCATGGCTCGCCGCGGTTAGATTGACCGATCGTAGCGAAATTTTCTTTTATTCCTCATAATTTTTTGAGATCTTGCAAGCCACAAACCCCGTAGCCAGTTTGGTAGAGCCTTCGTCCCGAAAAAATGTCGTTTGCTACCCTGAACGAGTTATTTTTTAATTCGTCATAGCTATTTTTTCAGACAGTATATGGATTTGTGAAAAGTAAAGCCAAAGTTATACCCAAAACCCCATATATCCAAAAATATTCAAATTTTGAAAATTCCTTCCTAGTAAAACTTGTAGTTCTTAAAAATTTATGCGGAATTAAAAAAAAATTAATGGCGTTCGAGTTTCGGAGCACAAAGTTATTGCATTTCAAAGTTTGGTGAAATAAAAAAATTGTTGCGGGACCAAACCACCCATGGCTGTTTGCGGCTTGCAAAATCTCGAAAAATTATGCGAAATAAAAAAAAATTGCTATGATCGGATACGCGAGCGCAAAGTTACGTTTGTTGGAAGTTTAAAAAAAAAATCATATGCACACCGCGGGGTGGGGTGGCGGTTTTGCCCCTGATCCCTGAGGTGGCGCACGATCAATCTGACCGCGGCGAGCCCATGCTGTTTTCAGCCGTCAGGAACGAAAACCGCGACACCACCTGCGATTTTCGTATAAACTGACATATGGGGCCGCGGTTTTGTAAAATGGTGGTATTTTTTAAAAAATTCGGAAATAGATGGTTTTTTTAGAATTTTTTAGTTTCTAGGTGGTATTTCTGGAAAATTTTCAATCAGCACTCTTATTGTACAAAATTTCAGTGTTTTTTCAACATATAATCTTATAATCTTGTAGTCTCTCAGGTACTATACTAAGCTCCGCCATCAAATCGAATTAATTCCACGTTATCATCATCATCTAGAAGCTTTCTTGGTTCATAATGACGATAATAATAATAATAATAAATTGAGCTTCGTGGCGTGAAACATAGTGGATATCATTTGTTTAATTTTAATTATTTTTGCTCTAGCTTTTTTTTCCAGGTAAACACTGCAAATTGATTAAGGTGGGAAAGCATTATAGACATAATAATGGTTTAAAATAGGTGATCAGAGCGACTAATTGCGGAAACAGGACTCAGGAGGAGTCAGATAAATTGGACAATCTGTATATATATTAGTTTAATCCCCAAACTGGTGCCTGACCTTGGTCCCACTGAGACACGTGAACCCATCTAGGCATCCACGGCGCAGTCAATTTCAACTCTCAAGTCTCCCCACCATCGAATGGTTCAATGAATTTGTAACACTAGGTTTTTACAAGTAGCACAGTAGAAAAAAGTTATTAAGAAAACAAGGCTTAATTGCAAGTTTGGTCACTCGAATTGCTATAAAATTTCATGTTTGCCACTCGAATTAATTTATTCCATTTATAGTCACTCGAATTAGTTGAATAGTCCAAGTTCGGTCACTCTCCGTTAACTTCCGTTAGACTCCGTTAATGACGACCGTTAAGTGATGACGTGGCTAACAGAAAATCACAGTCAGCATAATTTAACACTAAAAAATGACGACCCGACCCGCCACGTCATATTTACCCGCCATGTCAGCCCTTCTTGCCCAACCCGCGAACCAACCCAATTAATTGACCAAACCCAAAACCGAGACACAACCCCCTGAAAAATAAACAGAGATCGAGCCCTCGCCACCACTACCTTCCTCCTCCGCCGTCGCAACTTCTCCGCATCCGCAGTCACCTCCGAGCTCCCCACACTCGAACCATCCGCCGACGCCGAACTGCTCTCGCAGATGCTCCTCCACCATCCCCTGAAATTGTCCCCTCCCAGGCCGTGCTGATTCCACCGGTGGTTCACTGGCACAATCACCCCGGCGAACACCAACAGAAACGGCGGCAGAGAACCCAATTCGTAGATCCTAACCCGCTTCTGCAGCTCCATCCACTCCTCGATTTTGCGCGTATAATCCCCTTCCCTCCACCGACCCAGATCTATCACCATAGCCCCTGTATTGAAATAACACGCCCTCCTGTCTGCAAACGTCAGGGACAAAGAAGGGTTTGACCAAAAGCTAGGGGTGAAAGTGGCTGTCGAGGTTTTCAACAAGAGGAAATTCATGTCCACTGTTCTAATCTGCGGATGGTGCAAGCTGGGGAGATTGGACATGGCGGAGAGGTTTTTGAGAGAGATGGATGAGAAGGGAATCAAGCCCAATGTCGTTACTTACAACGTCTTGTTAGATGGGATATGCAGGAGAGCTAGATTGCAGACGGAGCATAAGTTTGAGAAGACGATTGTTTTGGCCGAGCAGGTGTTCGACAAAATGCGCCAGAGAGGGATCGAACCAGATGTGACCAGTTTCTCCATCGTTCTCCGGTTTCCCCGTTAGTTCGTTTCAGGGGAACTCACCGGAGGGGTTGTGTGGTCGGCCTATGGAGGTGTGTTTGAGATCAGGAGGGAAGGAGGGGATGTCGAATGCTGCAGTGGTGGGGATAATCGCGGTGATTGTTTTCTCGTCGACGGTGATTTATTTTTGGGGGTTGGGTCTCGGGTTTGGGTTTGGGTCAATTAATTGGGTTGGTTCGCGGGTTGGGCAAGAAGGACTGATATGGTGGGTAAATATGACGTGGCGGGTCGGGTCATCGTTTTTTAGTGTTAAATTATGCTGACTGTGATTTTCTGTTAGCCACGTCATCACTTAACGGTCGTCATTAACGGAGTCTAACGGAGATTAACGAAGAGTGACCGAACTTTGACTGTTCAACTAATTCGAGTGACTATAAATGGAATAAATTAATTCGAGTGGCAAACGTGAAATTTTATAATAATTCGAGTGACCAAACTTGCAATTAAGCCAGAAAACAATGACTTGCATTAATTGTATCAGTTCCAAGAGTAAGGAGTGGTCCTTCTGGGGTTTTAAATCCACGGAGATGTGTCGACGTAAAAAGTGGTCAAGGCCCCATGTCATTAACATGAATGGAGTCGAAATTCTTAAAATTATCTTCACAGTTCATAGATTCATAAAAAAAAATCATTTCAAAAATAAAATTAATTGAATAAATTGTGTTCATAGATTCAATTTTTTTATAATCAGGTGAACGTGAGGTTCAGCTATGAAAAATAACATGATTTTTCAAAATTCTGAACAAGTGACCGCACCTTCTCTTGTTATTACAGTGTGATTAAATTGATAATAATTTAATTAAGTTTTAAAATAAACTTTTTTCGCAAAATGATGGTATCTCGATATGCCTTCAAATATTAAGAGTATACAAGGTAAAGATTGAGTATAGTATACTCCAAATGATCTGGTCGTTGGATGTATTTTAATAAGGTCCGACCAATATCAACGGGCAATTATTATTTTTTATTAAATTGAACTTCGGGTTTGAGTTTAGAGAATCGAAGCCTGGGATTTTATCCGTTAGAAGTTAGGATATAGTATCATACCCAAACTCGGTTAAAATCATGATCTAAATAGAGATATCTCACTAGGATTTTTTGAAGTATACTATACTCTAGTAATTTACCAGTCTGATCCATATATATTTTGTTGAAGCCCTCTCGATCGGCCAACTCTTCTTCCGTACCAGCTGACTCCCTCCCAATGAAGCCTGCACTCACAGAGGTGGGCCTTGTGGCCCGTTAGTTCTCCAACGCTCAAGTCAGTATCTTTCTTAGAGAGAGAAGTGCTTGTAATGCACAATGGTTAGTGAGAGAAGCCAAATTGAGTAAATGCTTACCCACCTCCCTATTTATAGCCAATTACTGCTTACCTGGACCTTCTCGTACGGATTTCCACGTCAGCCCTACATTTAATGCGGGTGACCCAGGGCGCCTCCTCCGAAGATGACTCCAGGCGCCCTCTTCGTGTGCCCACAATTCCCAAGTGCCTACCTAGGCACCTATTGTGCGAGTACCCCTAGGCGCCTAGTGTATGCAACTCCCAACTTGCTCTTGATCTAAGCCCGAAGGCGCCTATCATGACCTACCCCATCTTGAATGGGATCACCCTTCCTCGGACTGTTTGGGCTTCACACCCTTTAACGGGCCTCATCCATATATCGGGGCCTCCTTATTCGTATACCCCCAACAATTGCCCCCCAGTTAGGTGCTCAAATTCGGATTCTTTGAGCGCCTAACTATCAGGCTTTTGCTCTTTCTTTTCCAACTCTTATTACGGTGGCCGTTTGCCCCCCAATCATCTTTCCTTACGGCGCACGAAATTCGGCAATCTTGTTTCTGACGCAGCGCCCTCCCTTTGTCCCCAGGCGCATTGTGCTAGCACCACTTAAAATTCCTTCTTCAAGGCGCCTAAAACCGTTACCCATTGATTAAAGGGCGCCTTTTCCTTCCCAGGCGCATTAGTTCTGCATCCTTTAACTCCCTCGCCTTGTGCCCTAGTCGTCGGAGCAACCCAAAGCGCCGCCACTCCTTCGACCCAAGGCGCCCCGCTTCGGTTCGCCGGTTACCTGGCCGCCATTGAACCTTCGCGTCTCCTCTGTCCAAGGCGCCTCCGCACTCCCCTAATCCAAGGCGCCCTGCCTGTTCCCTTATCGAAGGCGCCTCTACTTCGCCTGCTACCCAGCCGCCTCTGCGCCTAAGCCGCCTCGCCTTGGTTCGCTTGTTACCCGGCCGCCATTGAACCCTCGCGTCTCCTCTGTCCAAGGCGCCTACGCACTCCCCTAATCCAAGGCGCCATGCCTGTCCCCCTGATCGAAGGCGCCTCGACTTTGCTTGCTACCCAGCCGCCTTTGCGCCTAAGCCGCCTCTCTCTCCTGCCCCCCTTCACAACCAGCGCGACGTTCGAGGTGGTTGTGAATTTTGCCACGTGGCAGTCGGCACGATATTCGAGGCGCTCCCGTTTTCTTTAAATGTAAGTCGATTCCCGGCATAGTTCTTCATTCGCCCTCAATTTGCCTTCTCACTCTAGTTTCTCTCTCTGCTGTGCCTCTCTCCTTTGTCAGCGTTCAGCCGATCTCGCCGTGATGTCTCTCCCATCTGATGCCGCCGCCGCCGCCGCAGGCTCTTCCCAAAATCCGGGCGGCCCTTCTAAAACCGGTAAGCCACTTCCCCTTTTTTTTTTTTTTTTTTTTTTTGCGTGAATGCTTGTGTATTCTTGCGATGGAGGCGCCTCTTACTGCTCCAACGGTTGTGCGCCTACTTGACTTGTTTTAGTGGAGGCGCCTGCATTGTCACCTATACCGACGCCTTCATCGAACTACGACGTGCCGGAGGATGGGTCGTACAAGATGACTACTTGGGAAGGCACCTGGCCGCCGGAGTATGCGCCCTGGGAGACTACATGTTTGCCGACAAATGTGGCAGGGCCTGAGCATAACTCCACCATTTCGGCGTCTTGGATGAAAAGTTTGATCGATGGGCTCGGGCTCCCACGCACCTGGACGTATGCGCCTCCATCGCCTATGGCCAGGGTGGGGTTGTGCGGGCCCCGTTGGTTGGGAGTATATCAGGAGTATTTCCGGTTCGGGCTTCGGTTTCCCATAGATCCCATATTGGAGGGCATTCTGGAGTACTGCGAATGCACAATCGGGCGCCTATCTCCGTCTGTGATACTTATTGTTGTGCTCTTCAAGTTGAAGTGCCGGATTCACCATGTGCGCCCAACCTTCAACCTATTCCGCCACTTTTTCTCGGTGATTTCTCGGGACAACTGTCTGTCCTTGAAGCGGCGGAAGAAATTGCACGCCCATTTTGTGACGAAGTGCCCTAAATTGGGGCGCACATGGTTCAACGGGTTCTTCTTCATAAAGGCGCATAGGGACTATTTCTTTGAAAGCGGAGGCGCCTTTAGGACTGACTGGGAGCTTGGTATTGAGGCGCGCTTCAACGCTGCCGTTGTCCTTAGTCGAGAAGAGCGAGCCGGGGCCGCCCTAATAAGCGCCTCGCCTGTCAACTTGCGCCCTACTAGTGCACGGGCGCCTATTTTAGAGGAATACTATGCGGATGGTGTGTTAAGAGTGCCGTTTATGCCTTTTGCATTCTCTTTTGGGCGCCTAGCTAATCCCTTGGTTTTGTTTGCAGGTACGAGATTTGGGCGTATTGCAGACTTGATTAAGAGTCGTTATGAGAGGATGACTCTGGAGGAGCCTCAACAAGGAGGGTCCAACCTTGGGGGGTCTTCACCTGCCTCAGTTTCCACCCCACAACCATTGGTGGCGCCTACGGAGAGAGGGAAGGGAAAGGCGCCCGGAGAGAAGATTGCTAGGGCCTCCAGCGAGGCGTCCACACCATCAGGCGCGGATTATCGTGAAGACCATGTTGTGGTCGAGGACCTGGACGATGAAGAGGACGAAGTGCCCTTGGTCAGTCGAGGGAAGAGGGCAGGCGCCCAACTGACTCCACCAGCAAAGCGTCATAGAGCCGAGGGAGAAAGATGCGCCACAAGTCAGGGTGAGGCCCACTCCCCACGATATGCTATCGTGGAAGGGCGCCTGCTGGGGCCTGTTGGGTTGCCCCCCATTTTTCAGCCCAGGCGCACCGAGATGGGGCGTGTTGCCTTGTCGTGTTCCCCTCGAGCGGCAGTGGATCGTGGATGCGCCATGGGTCTGGCTCTGTCAGCCGCCAAACTTCTACAAGTGCCCTCCTCGATCTCGGAGGATCATCCATGGGCTGAAGTCGCCCGAACGGGAGCCAAGGTTTGTTCACGCGCGCCTTTGTTTGACTTGCACATTTCCCATTTTTTTTTTTTTTTGTTCACTTGGGCGTCTTACATTTGTGCAGATGCTCCTACTTGCTGAGGCAGGCGCCCGGAAGACAGACCTTGCGATTGAGGAGTGTCGCGAGGCCCGAGCGTCCTTGTCTTCCATGAAGGACAACCTTGACACCGTTACAATGCGCCGCGACGAACTTGTGAAAGAGTGCGAGGAGGCGCAACTGGAGGCGGCAAGGCAAATTTCTACCCTTCAAAGCACGTT